GATGCATCCCTGGCGTACGCCCTTGCCAATTTTGAACCATGCAGTGTTCCCTTGTTCTGTTCTGACGACTGCCTCCTGGTCCAGGTATAGGTTTCACATTAGTACGATCAAGTGTTCTGGTATTCCCATTCTTCTCAGAGTCAGCCAATACGTACTTTCCATTTTTGTTTCATTATGTCTCTTCTTTATGCTTTCAGATTAAATTTTAAGCAGACTGGTAGTTTCTATTTCATACATTTAAATCTTTGCATTGTATTTTGTGAAAATTGTTAGATTTAGCGTATAAAAAGGTTTTAAATTTTTTTCTCCAAAAGAATGGATGTAGACTTTTAATGCTCCTGAAAATTATATTTGAAAGCTTAATAATTTTTAATGCATCAAATAGTGCTTATCACTAGTGAACATTTTCCTCTTACTCTTGATAAACATATTATGCATTTTATCCTTTTGCCATTTAAAAACCCATGTGTCCTAGATTACAATATCTGCTCACATTTACTGCTTTAGTCATCCCATTACAGATGATTAAAGAGATATTTGCAAATGCTCTGCAAATGCTTTGCTATTCTAAAATATATTTCCAGGTAATTCTGAAAAGTTTATAAAATTATATTTTTTTATTACATGGACACAATAGTTAGGTTTGTGCTAAATTTGTTGTTTGTAGGAATGATCAGATCTAGCTCAACACATTTCTACTTAATTCTCTAGACATTTTTGTAAATGAAGCAAAGCTAAGAAGAAAGTAAAAAGTGGCCCAGTAAGTATAAGTTAGAATTTAAATATATGAAGTATGTAAAGGTATGTTATAAACATTAAAGGGGGATCTGATAAGAGAACCTATTGCTTTGAAAATCTGTGCAAATTCCAAATTCTGTTACATTAAAAGATCTTTGCTTTAAATCGTTCCTTAATTTATCTTTTATTGAACGCATACCTTAACGTTCTATGGATAATAAATGATACCAAACATCTAATAGATTTCAGATGAGCAAGTTAATGTTTTATAGAAATTTTGCACCAGGGGGACATTATAAAATGATTTCAATCATTATATTTTACTGTGTGTAATGCATGAATTTTATATAAAGTTTGCCAAGGAAATAATGAAAATTGCAAAAGTGTGAAGAGAAGAGACGTGGAGGGAAGAGACAGCTTTTCATTTTGGCCTTGACTATTTAACTCTCCATCTCGGCACTGTACCATCTTTTTTCTCTTAGTTCATTCTTAGAGCTTCTCGTTTCTTCCATCCTTCTGCCTTTTCTAGCCCTGAAAGCAGGTGTAGGAGGAAATTAGTTTGTGAACTCTTCACCCAGCTAAAATCACTTCAAATTCACTCCTCTCTCAAGATTCTGGGCTAGGATTTGTGTGTCTGGGTGAACACCCTTAATACATTGTGAAGTTTAATATGCTCGAACCTAATTAAGTTTTGGGAAAACCTTTGCGTTATTTCTTTTCCTCTCTAGGACCTCACAACACGCAAGGGTGGAAAATGCACAGAGTGAGGATCAATCTGCTAAGAGTTCCTTGGGGGTTTCTTTGGGAAACTCTGAGGCCAATTTAGGTGTTTTATTTTTGTTTTGTCCTGAATTTTAGAAATGCGAAAACAGGTAGACGTGTCTTAAACTGGCTGAGTGAAAGGTGGACATGATGCTTGCTCTCTAATGAATCCCAGGACATCCCTCACCCCCAAATGTTGAGGATTATTTAGGAGGCTTGGACTACAAACTATGACTTTCTAAATAATGTAAATAAATAAACAGTCCTCCTCATTGTCCTACACATTAAAAGGAGATGTGGTAAGAGAGAACCAATTGCTTTGAAAATCTGCATATTCCAAATTCCGTTACATTAGAAAGTCTTTGCTTGAAATCATTCCTTATCTTTTATTGAACGCATACCTTAATGAGCTGTGGATAATAAATGTTACCAAACGTCTAATAGTTTTCAGATGAGCAGCCTGGTCTCTTTTAGCAAAACCGAACGACCACACCTGAGGCAAATCAACTCTCTTGAGACCATTGGAAAGTGTTGAAATCCACAGACCATGGGCAGCTCTGTCTCCCACACCTCGGAGGGTGGAGGGTCAGGTCCTCCACTGTTGGACTTCAGGGCCTGAACTCTGAAAACCTTCACTCACACAAATCCACTCCACGTAATACCCGTCCCCCCCCAGGGCCTCGTTTTCTTTTCTTAAAAGAGTGTGGTCTAGGCAAGTTTCAGAGGCGATTAACGCCTTGGAAAGCCTGCGGATCACCTGACAGAAGTCAGTGGAGATGATCTGCGTGGGCCACCCCCCAGGGCGCCAGAGGTGAAGGCTCTCCCAGCCCGGTGCTGGCTCTTCTCGTGAGCAGTTCTCCGTCCCACTTGTGCCCCTCTCATTCCCAACCTTCCTTGCAGAGCCCCTGGCCACCATCTCGCCATCGCCTTGGCGCCCACGCCGCTGGGTCAAGCACGCCTTTCTGTCTGGCAGGGGTTAGGGGCTGGCTAGTCTTTGGGGAAGGGGCGCGTAAGGGTTAACGATGAATGTGCGCGGCCAGGTGGGGTGCCCACACCGCCCACGGCCGCGCGGGGCGTCGGAGGGGAGGGGGCGCTGTGCGGGCAGCCGTGCGCTCAGGGGCGGGCGGGCGAGCTGCCAGGCTGACGGAGAGGCCGGCCGAGTGGGGGCCGCTCCGCCGCCGCCGCGGTGATGCGGAGCCGGTGCTGCGCCGGGCGGTGGAGTCAGAGCCGGGGCGCGGGAGCACGAGCTGCACCATCAGCACCGGCGGCGGCGGCGGCACCTGCACCAGCTCCCGGGCCCCGCGCTGCGCTCTCCGCCTCGCCGCGCCCGGGGCCGCCGCCCCGCGCTCTCTATGGATGTCAAGGCGGCCCCCAACGGGGTGGCCACCATCGAGGACCGCATCCTGCGGATCACCGGCTACTATGGCTATTACCCGGGTTACTCCAGCCAGAAAAGTAAGACGCCGCGGGGCTGCTCTGCGCGAGGCGCCGGAGGGAGGGAGGGGGGCGCGCAGGGGCGGCGCGGGGCTGCGGGCTGGCGCGCCGTCCGGACACCTGCAGCCCCGCAGGCGCCACCAGCGCCATCCTCCTGGCTGTGGGGGCCACGGGTGGGGGTCCAGTATGCCCGCTGTCCCCGGTGATAGACCCCTAGGAAGGAGAGAGGGCGGGGGCTCCCAGCCGTCTGCGCCCAGGAGTTTGCAAACAGTCGCAGCCCGCGGGGGTGGAGGGACGGAGGGGTCCTGGCAAGCTCTCCTGATGACCAGCTAATGGCCAGCTCGCCTCAGCCTTGATTTACCCTTCTGAAGCGGCTAACATGGGTGGGCACTTAGTGGGCTCCACTCGCCGAACGCCCCTATTGGGTGCCAGGCTGCGGGCGGGACACTGGAGACACAGGCTGGAGATACTTAGTGTGCCAGGTGGACCAACCCAGACCTGGGTCCCGGGCGACGCCAAGGCGACTGTGAGCGGGGCTGCGTGTGCAGATTAGCTCTGGGCTGTGAGACGTTACCAGCGCGGGAACTACTCGTGTTAAAACCTCTTGGGGGGAAGGCTCTCCACCCCACTCAGAGAAAGACCCTACTCAGTCCCAGAGGTTGGAATAGAGGACCCTTACAAAGAACTGGGGGGGGCGGGTAGAGTCAAAGGGAGAGGTGAGACAGGGCCTCTTGCCCCCTGCCTCTCGAGGGCATCTCTGGGCCCTAGGACGCTGTCCTGTGCTGGCGAGGTCATATGGCACCAGTGCGTCCACATTTCCGGAGCGATTTGGTAGGAGGTCAAAGAGGTGCGCCCTCTGAGCGAGCAGTCCCCACATCCCCAGTACACAAACCCACTGGATAAATTTTGCTGGAATGAGTTTTGGCAACAACCAAAGTGAAAGCTCGGGTTTTCTCTGAATTGGAGGAGTAGCTTGAGGCTTCATTTTCATGCAGGTGGAATTTCGGTTTTCAGTATCAGTGCATTTCTGGGTCAATAGATGGAGCTTAATTGATGTTTTTTTGTTATTTTTAACCAGAAGCTCCCAGATGCCTATCTGATTAGGGCTTTCCGGTGACATTTTGGGGTGCAACAAACCTTACAGTTTCCCTAAAACAAAAGACTTACACAAACTCTTAACATGTAGAAGAGCGAACACTTTTTGATCCATGTAACACTCTCCCCCACCGTTTGCTTTGTCAACTGCCTAATAATTCAAGAGCTTTGCTCTGTGGACTATACGGGCATTTTCTAGTCTGATACTGTATTTGGTTTCAGGAAAGGCCTAGCTGATTTGGAGGCTTCTGTCTAGCTGTTTTTAGCATTAGAGGATTACATATATTCATTTTCCATACAAAAGTAATTATAGAGTGTTAAAATTTTCTGGAAAGAAAATAACACACTGTGTAATGCTATTTGAAATCTTGGTACTATAAACTTGAAAACTTCAATTTTGTCCCCCCACCCCCAGCTGACAAAGCATTTCTTTTTAACCCTAGAAATTTAATTGAAGGTAGCGGTATGCTTTCTGGAGATTTCTTGAATTTCACTGTTAATATCTTAATTAGGAACAATGGCATTTTGACTGCTTAGAAAATGAATGTAGAAGCTGGGAAATTAGAGGATTCAGAGCATTTTGTGATTAGAATTTTTCTAACAATGAAACTTTGACTAATAAATAATAGGCCCAAAAGAATATTAGAAAAGTTTCATTTTAGATAAGGACATGTTCATATTACGTTTTGGGGAGTTTGTTTAAGGAACTGCATATGCTTAATTTGCAATACAATAACAAAACCAGAGGAGAAAAGGACACTGGGCAAAACAGTAACTGAAGACTAACAAGGAGAAAGCTGCATCTAGTAGGTTATTTTGATGGGCTCTTACCTAACTTCAGGTCATAGAATTCAAACCGTGAAGGCACAGAATTCCAGAAGAATTGAGAGAATGACATGAGATTTAACTCAGGATGTTCACACTTTCAGGAGTCAATAGAGATTGCTGTTTTGCACAGAGAGAGGCAGGGAGAGGAAATAATCTTGCCTTTAATGCAGGCTTTAACCAGTAAACAAACACATTGAAGCAAACCAGTACAATATGGTCAATTGATTTAGCAGCTACCAGGAATGAGCAACAGCTTGAGGAAGCCTGGAAGAGCATGCCAAGGAAAAAGTACTGACGTTGAGCTATGAGGAAGAATAGGTAATATGTGAGACCAAGGTGACATTCCCATTTTCTGACTTGTCTTGAATGAGGCCTTAGAGATGGGATGATTTCTCTTTACCTTTTGTTAGAGAAAAGGACCCATGATTAACATTGTGTTAATGCATCCTGCTTTCACGCTTGCTCAGGAACCAGGAAGAAGAATATCTTGTTCAGAATAAATTCTCATAGTCACAAGGATACAAGGGCGAAATGAAAGATCCTACAAAGTGGAGATACTTTATCAACTGCTTGCTTTATTGTCTTGTGAAAGGAGCTCCTGTAGTGCATTATGTATTGAGCTGCTGTCTGAAAAGTCAGCAGTTCAGATCCACCAGGGAGAGAGTTGAGCAGTCAGAATCAACTCAGTGGCAGTGGGGGTGGATTGGGATTTTAACTGAGTACTCAAAAGCATGCTACAAAGACAATGAAAACAATTCTTAATCTTTAGTTATTCATGGTGTCATCTCATTGCTCTTGAGAAAAAGGTGAAACATAACCTGACCCTCCAGTGAGCTATCGGGAGGTTTTAAATTGAATGGGGATTGACTGCCCATCTTTCTCCTGAGGAGCAGCTGGTGGATTTGAACCGTCACAGAGATGCCACCTTTGGATTAGTAGCACAGCTTCCTATGGACTTCATCACCAGTTCATCCCGATAACCCCAATCACTGAATCAATCCACCTCATAGAGGCTCTTCCCCTCCTGCGCTGTCCCTCTACCCTACCAAGCATGATGACCCTCTCCAAGGACCTGTCTCTCCTTACAACATGTCCAAAGTATGTCAGACAAACAATAAAATATTATATATTTCAAAGTGAGAAATACTTTTTGAAAATTACAACAGGATAAAAGTTCTGTATTCTAAAGGGGGGCAGATATTGTAGCAATTTGAGATAGGGTACTTATTATGAGAGTCACTGAGAAGTTGATAGTTAAGACCTGTAAGGCTGTAAGAGTGTTAAACACTTTAAGATGATGTTTCAAGTAGAAAGAATGCCCAATGTAAAGATCTGAGGTATAATGGAGAAAGATAAAGAAGACCTGCATGGCTGGATTTGGATGAATAGTTAGGAGAGTGGTTGACATTGATTCTTCATTTATCATCTTTGGTCATTGTCCAGCTCTCTGATGTATAACAAGTAATTGCAAAGACCAGGGCCTGAATCAGGAATACCTTAGTCTCCAGACTGACATCATTGCTCTTCAGCACTTTTGAAAGCTCTCTTGACAGCAGCCTTCCCCAGAGCAATTTGTCATTTGATTTCCTGACTGCTGGTGCCAAGAGTGTTGATTGAGGAGCCGAACAAGCTGAAATTGTTAACATCCTTAATCTTTTCTTCATCTATGATGCCATTGGCCCAGTGGTGAGAATCTTTGTCTTGATGTTGAGCTTCAGTCCATACTGAAGACTGCAGTCCTTGACTTTCTGCAGCAAGCGCTTCGGGTCCTCCTCAGTTTCTCAGAGCAAGGCTGTATCATCTGCATAACGTAGGTTGCTGATGAGTCTTCCTCCAATCCTGATGTCACATTCCTCCTCATAAAGTCCAGCCTCCCAAATGGTCTGTTCCTTATATAGATTTAAAAGGTATGGAGACAGGATGGATTTCTGATGCACTCCTTTTCTCATTTTGAACTGTGCAGTGTTTCCTTGCTCTGTTCTGAGGACTGCTTCCTGGTCTAAGTATTGGTTTCGCATGAGCACAATCAAGTGTTCTGGGATTCCTTTTCTTCTCAAGGTTAACCACAATTTGTTGTGATCCACACAGTTGCAGACTAGCCAATAAAGCATGGGAGACAAGCGAGTTATGAATGTATACAGAATGTGTTAATATAATGTTTGATCATATTATTTCAAACTGTTAAGTACAGAAAAGAGGAAGTCATGGTGATTAGGGGCAGGGAAAAAGTTGTAGGACCAATGAGATCAAAGTCTAGATGAGGTGAGTTGGAAAGATAGAGGAGATGACCAGAGAGAAGATTATGTGCTACAAGAAGTTATTCTTTCCATACCTTAAGCAAAAGGAAAATTCTATGTCTTATTGTCTTATATTTGTCAGGGTTTTAACAGAGAGTCTTTGTACAAGGAGGCAGTGGGCTGGATGCTGAATTAGATCTTAGATATTTGGAAATTAATTTTGATTAACTTATGTACAATTAACTCTTTGACTTGATGGCTTTCAAAAAATTCCAATCTTCCACTGAAAAGACATAACCCAATGACCCTTAATATGTTTACATTTTTTTGCTTCTCTGGTACACTTTAATCTCAGTTTTTGGTCTATACCATCTATCTTATCTCCATCAATATATATGGTCTATGGGAGAATATATATTGCATTATTCCAATTAGAAGTCATTTAGAGCTTTGTAAAACTGATGAAAAGTCACCATGAGCTGTAATGCACTCTACAGCAGTGGGTTTGGATGTGGCCCTATGTCACTACCTTAATTCTTTCCCTCATGTATTTATCAAGACATGGTCTTTCCAGTCACCTGCTATGCAGCTGAGAGTTGGACAATGAATATGAATGCCAAGTGAAGAATCAATGTCTTTGAGTTGCAGTGTTGGAGAAGAGTACTGAAAATCCCATTGACTGCCAAAAGAACGGCTACATCTTGGAGAAAGTGCAGCCTGAATGCTTCTTGGAGGAAAGGAGAAAAAGTCTCATTTCATATACTTTGGGCATACTTTTAGGAGAGTTATTCCTTGGAAGGGGGCATCATGCTTGGAAAAGTGGAGGGTCAGAGAAAGAAAGGAAGCCCCTCAGCAAGATGG